GGGGGGGGGGGGGGGGGGACAAGAGGGCCGAGGCGGGCGCGTGTTAGAGCATGGCCCGGCGGGCCGACACAAAATATGACGCAGGAGCACGCACCGCCCCCTTCGGGGCTCGAGCTCGCCACCGGCGCAGGAGCAGGAAGAAGGCCGCCGCCAGCAGCAGGAGCAGCAGGCCGAGCCCGAGACCGATGCCCAGGCCGAGGGCTGGCACGGGGCCATGCGGCGGAGCGGCAAAGGGGAAGGGGTTAGTTGACCGGCCCGGCGGCCAGGGGGCGGGGCAGGCGGCCGGCACACGCACCGAGGCGCTGCCGCGGGGCCGAGGCCCGGGGGTCGGTGCAGTCGGCGGGCCCCGGGCCGACGCAGGCCCCCGGGCAGTCGGCATGGCACGCGGCGCAGGCCGGCGGGGCGGCCAGCCAGTCGGCGAAGAGCCCCACCGGGCAGGCCTCCACACAGTCGGTCCCATGGAGGAGCAGCCGGTGGCCCTGGCACAGCTGGCAGGCCAGCTCGGCCGGGCAGTCCAGGCGGCCGGCCGCGTCCCGGGTGCATGGCCGGGCGTCGGGCCCGGCGGCGCACCGGTCGCAGTGCCGGCCGCAGGGGAGGCACACCCGCTCGACCGGCGACGGGGTGTACCCCGGCGCCGGGCAGGCGGCCTCGCAGGTGTTGGTATCCGGGCGCAGCCAGGCCGCCGGGTCGGCGCACGCCGTGCACCGCCCGGCCCCGGCATGGCATGTGGCACACTCGCCGGCGCACGGGTCGCAGGCCGGGGCCCCGGCGTGGGGGAGGAACTCCCCCGGCGAGCAGGCCGCCTGGCAGGCGCCGCCGGCCGCCGGCGACAGGACCAGCCCCGGCGAGCAGGCGGTGCAGCGGGCCTCGCAGCCGGCCGGCCGGTCGGCCGCGTGCACGCACTCGGCGCAGCCGGCCGGGCAGGGCTCGCACCGGCCGGTCACCCGGCACGGATGGTGCCCGGCCGGGCAGGCATCCCGGCAGGCCCCATGGTGCAGGAGCTGGCCGGGGCCCGGGCAGGCGGTGCAGGCCCCGGGGCCCGGGCCGTCGCACAGCCAGCAGGCGCTCGAGCAGGCCCGGCAGACGCGCGGCCGGCCGGGGCCCGGGTCGTCGGCGTAGTGCCCGGCCGGGCAGCCGGCCACACAGGCCCCGTCCGGGCCGAGGAGCCGGCCGGCCGGGCAGGCGGTGCACTCGGCCCGGCCGGGCCCGTGGCACTCGGCGCACGAAAGGCAGCACGGCAGGCACATGCCCATGTGGCGGTAGGTGCCGGCCGGGCAGGCGCCCAGGCAGGCGCCCTCCAGCCACAGGTCCACCGGCTGGCCGCACGTCAGGCAGTCGGCGGCCCCGGGCCCGGCGCATGTGGCACACGAGGCGTGGCAGTCGACACACCGGTGGCCATCGTGCCAGGTGCCGGCCGGGCAGGCCGGCAGGCAGGCCGCCCCCCAGAGGGCCGAGCCGCGCTGGCACTGGGCGCAGGCGGCCGCGTCGGCCGGGCAGCGGGCGCACCCGGCCGCGCAGGGCACGCACCCGCCGGGCCCGGGGTGGTGGCCGGCCGGGCAGGCGGGCACGCACTGGCCGGCCGGCGCGCCGGCCGGCAGGGCCAGCAGCCCGGCCGCGCAGGCCGTGCACTCGGTGCTCCGGAGGCCGGAGCACCGGCCGCACGACCGGTGGCAGGCCAGGCACCGGCCATCGACCGGCAGGTAGCCCGGCGCGCAGTCCTGCACGCACATGCCCTCCTGCAGGTAGGCCGCCTGGCAGCGCCAGCAGTGGCCGTCCGAGGGCCCGGTGCAGGCGGCGCAGGCCGGGTGGCAGTCGAGGCACTGGCCCGGGCCCGGGCCCGGGTACTTGCCCTCCGGGCAGGTGGCCAGGCAGGGCCCCGGGGTGCCGGCCGGCGCCCCGGGCCCGTGCTCGAAGCCGGCCGCGCAGCCGGTGCACTGGTCGGCCCGGGGCCCGGCGCAGGTGGCGCACTCGGGGGCGCACGGCTGGCACGACTCGCCGGCCGGGTGGGTGCCGGCCGGGCAGGTGGCCACGCACTGGCCGGCCGGCGTCAGGAGCAGGGGCTCCCGGCAGGCGAGGCAGGCGTCGGCCGTGCAGGACGCGCAGCCGGGGCCGCACGGGACGCAGGCCCCGGTGCCATGGGGCCCGGGCGCCGGGCCCGGCCACCGGTACCCCGGCGCACACGCCTGGCACTGGTCGGCGGCCGTGGCGCACAGGGCGCACGATGCATGGCACCAGGCGCACCGGTCGCCGGCCGGGTGCTGCCCGGCCGGGCAGGCCGCCACGCACGGCGAGCGGACCCCCGGGTCCGGCGACTGGAAGACCAGCCCCGGCTGGCAGGAGGCGCAGGCCCCGGCGGTGGTGCATGTGGCGCAGGAGGCGTGGCACGGCTGGCAGGTGCCATCGCCGGCGTCATAGCGCCGGGGCTCGCACCGCGAGCAGGCACCCCCGGCCGCGGCGCATTCCAGGCAGCCCCGGCCGCAGGGGACGCACGCGCCACCGGCCGGGCGGAAGCCCGCCGGGCAGGCGTCCACGCACCGACCATCCACATGGAGCGCCTGGCCGGCCGGGCAGGCGGTGCAGGCGCCCGGCTGGCCGGGGACCAGGCACTCGGCGCAGCCCGGCGCACAGGCCCGGCAGTGGCCCCGGACCGGGTCGAAGGCCGTGCCGGCCGCGCAGGCCTCGGTGCAGACGCCCGGCTGGCCGGCGGCCGGCAGGAAGCCCGGCCGGCAGGAATGGCACCGGCCCTGGGCGTCGCACGTGGCGCACGGGCCCCGGCAGGGGACGCAGCCGCGGGTGTGGCCCGGCCCGGCCGGCGGCATGCCGTCCACCCAGTCGCTCCCCGGGGCGCAGGCCAGGCAGGCATCCGCCGCGTGCCGGCACTCGGCGCAGGCGGCCGCGCAGGGGGCACACTGGCCGGCGGCCGGGCCCGGCAGGAAGCCCGGCCGGCATGCGGTACAGGCATCGGGCCCGGTGCAGGAGGCGCAGCCGGCCGGGCAGGGCTCGCACGGGTGCCCCGGCGCCCGGAGCCACGTGCCGGCCGGGCAGGCCGCCAGGCATGTGCCCTCCGGCCCGGGCGGCCCGGCCGTGAAGGTGCACCAGGTGCAGGCGTCCGGCCGGTCCGGGGCGCTGCACTGCCCGCACGACCAGTGGCAGGGCCGGCACCGGTCGCCGGCCGCCGGGTCCCGGGCCATGCCCGACCGGCACACCGTGCAGAGGAAGGCCCCGCCGGCCGGCGGCCGGTGGCAGGCCTCGCACGTGTCGTGGCACAGGCAGGCGCCGGCCGGGTCGGCGTGCAGCCCCGGCGGGCAGGCCGCCAGGCAGCGCCCCGGGTCGGCCGGCTGGAAGAAGTCACACCGGGCCAGGGTGCACTGGTCGGGGCCGGGCCCGGTGCATGCTTGGCAGGCCTCGGCGCAGGGCCGGCACTCGGGGCCGTAGGTCCGGCCGGGGCAGGCCGTGGCCGCCACCTGGATGAGGTAGCTTCGGGTGTCGGTGCCGGCGGACCCCGGGCGCCGGACCACCACCAGGAAGGATGCCAGCGCGGGCCACGCGTGGCCGGGCAGGCCGGCCGGCCCCGGGGCCTGGGCCACGGCCAGGCAGGTGTGGTCGATGGTGGCCGGCCAGTCGTGCGGCACCGCCAGCAAGGCATCCGGGCCCAGGCGGCAGGGCTCCCCCGGGGGGCAGTGCAGCAGGACCACCGCCACCTCCCGGGGCCCGACCAGCACCAGGGCGCCGGGGTAGTCGGCCCGGCCCCGGAGCACCAGGCCCCGGTGCATGAGGGGCGGCCCGGCGGCCGGGCCCGGCAGCCGGCGCTCCGTGGCAAGGAGCCCCCGCGTCCGCCAGTGGGCCCCCACCCCCAGGGGATAGTGCCGGATGAGCCAGGCCGACTGGCTGCCGGCGGGCTCGTGCCCGGCCAGGAGGAGCTCCTGCTGGCCGGGCCGCACGGTCAGGGCCACCGGCACCCACGGCTGGCCCGGGTGCGGGGGATCGCTGGCCGGGTGCCGGCACCGGGGGTCCAGCTGCCGGGCCAGGGCCCACGGCTGGGCCGTCGGCCCGGCGGCCCCATGGTCCCGGTACAGCCACTCGACCGGCTGCCGGGAAAGCCCATGGGCATGGGTGGCCAGGGCCGGCAGGTGGCCCGGCCCGGCCGCCGGGTCGCGGACCACCTGATACTGGCCATCGGGCTGGAACACCAGCAGCACATGGCCGAAGGCCAGCACCTGGGCCGACAGCTGCCGGGCCGGGGCCTCCTGCGGCAGGGCCGGCAGCGGGTAGTTCTTGAGGCTGACCAAGGGGCACTCCCACTGGGCCTCGGGCCCGGTAAGCGTGCACAGCAGGAGCAGGTGCCGGACGGCCCCGGCCCCGACGACCACCAGCCCCAGGCCCACGCGGTTGTCCGCGAAGAAGGGGCCCACCTCGAACAGCTGGCGCGTGTCCGGCAGGTGGGGAAAGGCCGCGGGCAGGGTGGCCGCCGCGATCGGCGCGTCGGGGGCGGTGCGCAGCTGCTCGGCATCCAGGATGGCCAGCCAGCCGGCCGCCAGGACGGCCAGCACCGAGGGCGGCTCCTCGGCCGCGAGCGATGCCGCCGACAGGTGCGGCAGGCCCTGCCTCAGGTAGAGCCGCGTCGGGCAGGCCGCCATGATGGCCTGCCCGCCCTGCAGGTGGATGGCCCGGATGTGGCCGGCGGCCTGCGGCGCGTCCGCCGGGGCGCACTCCCCGTGCGAGGCGTGGCTGCCGGCGGGGCATGCGCTGACACAGGTCCCGGGGCCGCCGGTCCGGTCGCGCAGCAACAGCCGGCCGTCCATGCAGGCCACGCAGCGTCCGCCCTGGTCGCATGCCCGGCAGTCCGGCGATGGGCATTTCGTGCAGGTGCCTGGGGTTGGCGCGGCGTGGCGTGGCGTGGCGTGGCGTGGGGAGGGGGGGACATACAAGGCGAGGGGCCGGGCGATGTGTGTGCCGGGCGGGCACAGGCGGGAGAACACATGCCCAGGCAGACGAATAGCGGGGCGCATGGAGACGCACACAGCGGGGCGCATGGAGACGCACATGGGGATGTTCGTAGTGGCACACGTAGCGAGGCAAGTGAAGACGCACATAGCCACACACAGACACATATACACACATACATGCACAGATGCACACATACACACACACACACATGCACAGATGCACACATACACACACATGCATATGCACACACAAACACATACACATGCACATACACATACACATGCACAGATGCACACACATGCACATGCACAGATGCACACACATGCATATGCACACACAAACACATGCACACACATGCACACACATACCCAGGCACACATGTCAGAACCAGGCAGAGGACAGAAAAAAAAGGCACCAGGCAGTGCACATGCAAAAGGGGGCACACACGCACGGGTATGCGGGCCGGTGACTTGGAGGAAGTGGCCGTCCTCGCAGCCGGCGCACAGCTCCCCCTCCAGCAGGAGCGGGGCAAAGCGCCGGCCCGCGGCGCACGACCAGGAGCCGGTCCCCGGGTCGCACACGATCGACGCATCGGCCCCACAGGCGAAGACCTCGTCGGTGAAGAAGATCCGGTTGGCCTGCTGGATGGCCCACCCTTCGGCCACGCCGGCCGACGGCCAGCCGGCCGGCACGGCCACCGCCCCCGGGGCCGGCGACCGCGCGAAGAACCCCGGCGGCGTGTCGATCCGGGTCCAGGTCGCCGTCTGCCCCTCGTGGAAGTCAAGCCGCCAGAGCACCTGCTTGGAATTGACCAGGTGCAGGAACCCCATGGGCCGGGGGACGTGCAGCACCCCCGGCACCAGGTCGGCCGAGAGGGCATGGCCGTCGCGCTCGGGCAGCGGCACGTCCCACTGCATGGCGATGTCCCCGGCGTCATTGAGCCCGATGTACACCCGCAGCCGGGAGGTCCCGATGACCACCAGATCCACGACCGCCGGGTCGGCGGAAAGCAGCCGCGTGGCCGCCATGTCCCGGATGGCCTCCGACGAGTGCAGCGCCCAGGCCGAGGAGTGGCCATGTCGCAGCCAGGTCCAGCTCGGGCCGTGGGAGGCCAGGAAAAAGTGCCCGGCCGGGCCGGACACCGCCACCGTGGCGCCCACCGGGTGCCGGGCCTCCGACCAGCCGGTCCCCTGCAGGTGAAGGACCACCACCTGGCCCGGGCCCACGCCCAGGAGCATGGACAGGGCATGGGGGCCGTGAGCGTGCGCCGCCAACAGACGCACCGGCTCCCCGGCCAGCTGGGCATACTCGTGCATGGCGCCGGTGGTGGACACCCCGACCAGGCCCAGCCCCGTGGCCCAGGCCACCACCGGGTTGGATCCCGGCACCGGCACCCGGAGCACCTGGACATCGGCCCCGGTCGGCAGGGTGGCGTAGGCCAGCTGCCCGGCCGGCGCATCGAGGAAGTGGGCCCCCAGGCGCGCGTCCGCGAAGAGGTCCACCCGGGCGCCCTGTAGATGGACATGCCCCTCGGCCAGCGAGTGCTGGACCATGGGCTGGTCGGGGAGCAGCAGCTCGTAGGTGCTCGGCTCGTCGGGCCCGAGCGACATGGGGGCCTGCACGAGGAAGGGACCTTGCGACCGGGCGCCGGGCCCGGCGCCGAGCGCGAGCAGCGCCAGGCCCAGCAGCAGCGCCAGGCCACGGCGCCGGCGTCGGCCAAGCTGCATG